CCGTGGTGCTGGGGGATCCCCTTCGGGAAAGCTTTTTCCCGATGTAAAAGTGGAGTTTATCGTCGCTGTCGCCTGGAGGAACTGCGTTGGGACTGTGGGGGAAAAAAACCACCAAAAAACAACAACAAAAAAAAACCCAAAATGGAGATGCTGGGGATTGAACCCAGGACCTCTTACATGCGAAGCAAGCGCTCTCCCACTGAGCTACATCCCCTTCCTGTCAGTGTGTGGGAGAGGAAATGTACTCAGTGACACTGCAGGGGTCGTGTCCCCTCATGAAAAAAATTCCATCTACTGAATGACCACCCCACGGGATGCTGTTCGCGGGCAGCTTGGAGAGGCAAGGACTGGTCCTCCCGTACTGGTCATCGGAGAGCAGCAGGGGTGGAGTCCCCTAAGGAGGGGTTGTCCCAAAAGGAAGGGCTATCTCCAAAGCCGGGGCTTTATCCAAAGCAGGGGATGCCCTCAAAAGGAGGGGTTGTATCTAAAGGATGGGTGGTATCCAAAGGAGTGCTTATCCAGGAGTTGAACTCAGGGTCTCTTGCATCCAAGAATGAGAAACCTATCCCTACACCCCACAAGCTGGTGTACTGCACTCCTTTTTCATCCCCAGCCCCTCTATCCCACACATTTTGAATTTAGGGATATAGCTGAGGCTGAGGTTTTCCACAGCACATCCACCACCTTGAGGAAGCATTTCTACACCAGCCATGCCAGGAGGCAGCCCCAGGGCTGTTCGGGGGGGCTCTGGCAGCCCTGCAGCCAGCAGGGAGGGGTCTGGGGGTAGCAAAAAGACATGGAGATGCTGGGGGTTGATCCCAGGGCCTCTTGCATGCAAAGCAAGCACTCTCCTGCTGAGCTACATACCCTTGCTCCAGCAGCACTTTACTACTGGCCCTTGAGGGTCCATCCTTCCCACAGGAATGTGTCCAGCTGGGATGTGGGACCAACCCCACTATGCTGTGCACTGCTGTTCCAACCCATGTCACAGCCCCATGGGCACCAGTGCCCAAAAGAAGGGCACATCTTGGAGCTGACCCTGGGACCTCTGCACCAAAGTGAGAATCATACCCCTAGACACACAAACCAGGGCAGAGCCATTCCCTCTGCCCTCAGCCTGTGTCCTCCATTCCCCCATGGTGCTCAGCACAGGCTGAAGGCTCTTGGGTGCCCCCATCTCCTACCACCACCCCTCAGAGACCTATTCCACATGGTCCTGTGTGGCTTTGGGACAGGGGACAGGAGCTGTGAGTTCTGGGTTACTGGCAAATTCCCTCATCTGTTTTTTTTTACGAGTCCCTGGGAGCTGCCAACCATGGGGATCAGCAGGGTGTTGGGGCTGGGCCTCCTACAGGTGCCGTAGGGGGCAGGACTGGGGTTCAGCTCCAAGGCAGGACACAGGGAATTTTTCAGGACACAGTTCCTGAGGGTTGGGCTGCCTATAGCTGTGCTGGGGTGGGAACACGAGCTGCTGCAGGAGCCCCAGCTGGTGGGAACCCCTCTTCTCACAGGGAGAACAGGGCGAAGAGCTGACTTTCAGACAGCAGCGAGCCTCCAGTGCTGATTGCATCACATGGCCCTGCCAGAGCAGGGACTCCCTCCATCCAAACCCCCTGAGCTGACTGAGGTGACGTGGGAGGATAGTTCAGCCACAGCCTTGCTCCTCCCCCCTGCCCCTCACATCACAGAGGGCTGGGGGAAGGGGGCAGGGGAGACTCTGCACCCCGTGGTTTCCAGGTCTCGTAACCCCCTGTAAATACCCAGCTCCTTCAGCCCCACACACCCAGCACTGACAGCAGCCACCTCGCACAGCAGTGGCCATGTCACCCTTTTCCTCTTTGGGAAATGCGCAGAAACCTCTCAGGAAACATGAATTAGCAGCCCTGGAATGTATAATTGAACAATTCTTGAGTTTAAAACTCAAATTCCCTCGTAGGACCCTGTAAACTGTTGGGATTTGGGCTCTGCTTTCATTGCGCTCATCCCTGTGTCTCCCCAGGGGCTGCCATCGAAAGCAAAAGCTCAGAGGAGAAGAGGGCGTAGGACAGCCGGGAGCAATGTCTGTTGATGATTTGGGGTCAGGGTGAGACATGGAGCCAACAGGGCTGCGGGCTCACTGGGGTGCAAGCCTTGTGAGCCCCATTCCCACAGGGAGCACCAGGAGGGCCAGACTGGGATGCCAGTGCCTTTTGATTTGCCTGCTTCTTCCCCCATGACTCACACATGTAGGCAGCCTGTTATTTTCCTGCTTTATTGGATTTCCAGCCCTGGGGAAGAGCTGAAGCCCTTGTCAGAGCTATTGCCTGTCTGACTCTCCAGGCATGGCAGGGAGGGCACCCCAAGGAACAGCAGCAAGCCCCTGCCCTGTGCTCGTTCTGTGGGGGCCTGGGGTGGGATGTCCTCAGTGCTTCCCTCATCTCCCTCCACTTTCTCTTAGCTTCCTAAAGCTGAAAAGCAGGTGTCCTCTCTGCTTTGGTGGGAAATTGCATTGCAAGACTTTGGTGGGTGAGGAAGGATATTTTTCACAAAAAGAGAGTGGTTTGGTTTAGAAGGTACCTACCTACAAGACCATCTCATTCCAACCCCCTGCCATGGACAGGGACACCTTCCACTAGGCCAAGTTGCTCCAAGCCCCATCCATCCTGACCTTGAACACTTCCAGGGTTGGGCCACACAAGTCCCATCTCCACCTGCTGTGCCTGCAGGCTCCCAGCTCCAGGGGCTCTGTCTCTCACCTGGCTGGCTCCAGGATGTGTGTCCCCAAGTGCTCTGGCTCCAGCAAGGAGGATGAGGGATGCTGCCTGTTGATGCCAGCTCGCCCTCCCAGCGTTGCCCTCAGCTCAGTGCCTGGTCTGAGATACACATTTTGCAACCCAGCAAAGGCACAGGTGGTGGATCTGGCTCTTCATCCTCTCCCACTGCTGTGAGACACCACAATTTTTGTCTTCTCATCTGCATGTGATGGTAGAGAAGCCATGGATTGATGTGCTGGGATGACCCATCAATGACCCAGCCACCACCAACTCTTCTGTCCCTATCACTAGCACTATGCTGCCTGGGATTTCCATAGAATCACAGAATATCCTGAGTTGGAAGGGACCCATGAGGAACCTCAAGTCCAACTCCTGGCTCAGCACAGGACAACCCCTAGAATCCCACTATGTGCCTGAGGGTGTTGTCCAAACGCTCCTTGAGCTCTGGCAGTCTTGGGGCTGTGACCACTGCCCTGGGGAGACTGTTCAGTGCCCAAACACCCTCTGGGGGAAGAACCTTTTCCTGAGATCCAACTTAAATCTCCCTTGACAAAATCTCCACTCCGGATGGTCCCACTCACTTGCTCTTCACACTAATCTTCCCTTTTCCATAGCAACTCTCTATGATTCTCCACTTGTTCCTCCTCAAACCATGACTTCTCCTCCTCCTTCCCACCTCATCCATCCCCAGGGTGGGGAGGTACCCATCCTTCAGGAGTGAGAGGATACTGAGTGACCACAGGGAGAAGGTCTTCTCCAAGGTCACAAAGCAACTGAGGAAAGATGGGAGGTGAGCAGGAGACATAAAACTCAATAGGCATGGCCAGAGAGTTCCACCTGGGCTACACTCCAGCCTCTTTTTAGAAATGCTTCTACTTTTGCTGCCTTTGAAAGCCATAACCAGGCAATGCTGGGACCAAATCCCAGGACCCAGCTGTTTCTTCCATGTGAACCCTTCCACTCGCTAAGCATTATTTTTCATCCCAGTCTCAGTATATAGCTCCCTGTTTCTCACCAGGGCCTTTGGCTGCAGGAACCTGTATTTTAGGGCCTGATCAGCAGGTCTGTGTGGTCCTGCCCTGGGCAAATCCTGACTGGGGGGGATACGTGGTGGAATGAACTCAGGATGGTTCTTGAGCTGGGAGCCAAGGAGGCACAGCTCCCAGCTGGAGTCGAGGCACCCGTGGCTGCAGGAATGTGGTCACGGGCTGCAGGACTGTGGTCACGGGCTGCAGGACAAGGTGCACCTGCATCCAGGGTGGGCACTATGTGGCAAAGAGCAAGAATGAAGAGCCTAATCCTTGAGGTCTGGTTTTGCCCTGATATATCTTAGGAATTTTTTTTTCTCTTCACTGTCACCCATTAAACATTAGGTGAGCAGGGCTCCAAAGGAGCACCTCCTACCTTTTTTCACAGACCCCACCTCCACTCTCCTTAGCTCAGCCAAAAAAAATAAAAAAAAAATCACTGCAAAATGCAGGGCAAATGCCATATTGAAATGTCAAACCTTATGTTCCCAGCTCCTCAAGAAAACAGGCACTAAGTCTGCTTCTGTGGGAATTCCTTACCTCCAAGCAGGTGTTTCCGTGGGGCAGGAGAAGTTTCCAGGTTGAGAAAGTTGCCTTCGGGCTGGTTGTAGCAAACCACATGCTCTGGTCAGCACAGTGAAGAGCTGGGCAGCAGAAACCCCCTTTTCATACAAAAAAGAACCCTTCCCACCAGCAACAAGTTGCCCCCAGAGCAGGTCACCCTTTGAGACCCCAGAACAAGTAACACCAGAAGACTCAGTCTATGATGAAGCATGACTTTAATGAGAAGGGGAAGGAGAGTAAATCAGTTCAGAGTGTAAGAAAGGTGTTTCCAGTGCTCAGTAAAGAAATGGATAAACCCCATTCCAGGATGAGCCAAATCCCTACAAGGTGTTCCTCCTCCCCACCACCTCATGACTATTATGTGCCGTCTACAGCCTGCTAGAAGCATTTATGCCCAGCCAGCAGCAAATGCTGCATAGAACATGGAAATATGAAGTAAGACTTTGCAAGAGAAAGGTATACAGAGGCACGGTCTGGAGTGACAAGCTCGCAAGGCTCTCGTCCTCCTGGGGGAACTGCGGGTGCCCCCCGCAGCTGGGAAACCCAGGAGCTTAGTCCTCTTCCCCAGCCTTGGTCCTTGCGCTTCGTTTGTCCCTCCCGACGCGGCCACGCAGCTGTCACCGGTGGGAGGAGGAGGTGACCGCTGGGGACACCTCTACAGCCCGCTGCCCAGGCACAGCAACCCCGCCTTCCCCAGCCCCCGGCCCCCGCCAGAGCACACGGGGATCCCGCAGCACCGCAGGTAGCTCCCGACCGCCGCCGACGCCGTGGAGCCCACTGCGGTGTTCTGCGGGTAGGAGCTGAGGATGGGCCCGGGCAGGGTGATCACGACGGTGGGAGGCTGGATGACGGCGGTGGAGTCCCCGCAGCGGCGGAGGCAGGGCTGGTTGCAGCTGGTGGCCAGTGGCCGGGGACCGCAGGAGGAGGGCAGGCACAGGTCGTAGCAGGACATGGCTCGGTGAGGATGTGCACCTGAAAGCCACAGCCAGGCTGTAAAAGGCAAGGCAGAGGCTGGTCCGCCCCTGCTGAGCCCTCACGCAGCGGCTCCCATTATAGGTGTGCGAGAGTGAACTAGAGAGTGAGTTTGGATGGTTTAGAAACGCCAGAGAAAGGCTTTCCAAATGGGCAGGAGCCAGCATACCCCCCTGCCCCCCTTCCGCCCCGCTCGGGAGAATGGGAGGAGTTTGGTTTGAGCTGCAGATCTGGGGAAGCTGGAGTCACCGGGTACTGAGAACAGAGAGCAGACCCTCTCCTGCTCCAAGCTGACAGAGAGCCCTCAGTAAGCAAGATGCTCCCTGAGATGCATCGAATTGTAGCAAAGCCCACTTAAATCAATACAATGTGAGCTAAGCTATCCCATCCCAAAATAAAAAAGACCTTTAATGCCCTTCCATAAACAGGGGGACATCAATCCTTGCAGCCTGGGTATGTCCTATTCTATTTTTTTCCCTCTCCTTCAGCAAGGAAAATCATGCATGATGCTACCGGCTACATGGTTGCAGACCCTGCAAGTGCTGCATCCCACAACCCCTTGCAGTCCTCATTTTAGGGCAGAGATACACCCTTCCTTGATGTCCTCTGCAGGTGGAAGGGAGGCAGGTAACAAACCTTGAACTCCTGTAGAGGACCGGGCAAGAGCCTGGTGTGGAGGAGATGGAGCCCGTTTTAACTTACCCAGGTGGAGACGGCAGTGGTGGCAGCTAGGAGCAGGTGGTGGGGCTGGGCACTGTCCCCACTGTTTTATAGGGTGCCCCAGCCCCCCAGGGGAGCAGGTGCGTACCTTCCGCCTGAAACTTCCCAACAACCAGCAGTTTTCTCCTGGAAAGCTCCCCTGGCTGATTAAGCAGTTCCCTCTTTCATCTGTCATGTTTTGCTTCCATTTAATACTGAGTAAGATTGAAATGATTTGGGCTACAGGCATTAATTACCTTCCTTCCTAGGGCCAAAGGACATTTTAGGTCTTTATGCCACCAGGCAGGAGAGTGTTTCAGCAGAATTAGGGCAGGTGCATCTCCACCTTCCTCGCAGCACAACCAATTCAGCTCCCTGGTGCACCTGAGGTGAGACCAGGGACGTAAACTGAACATAGGGAGCATCCATTTGGAGTTAAATCCTGCAGTCTCATGGATGGCAGGAAAACTGAGGGGCTGCAGGGGTGAGGGTGCTAGATAGTACCGATGCAGACACAGGGACATGTGTTAGCCCAGCATGAGCAAATCATTATGGTTCTGGATCCACTTAGAGGGTTTGCCTTTTTTTTTTTTGTAGTTATTCCTTGCACCTGGGATATGAATCCTGCTTGGAAGGCACATCTAATTCTAAAAGCAAAGTGATCATGGGCTCTGACTTTCAAGAGCCCTTCTATCCCGCTCTTTGGATATGCTAGAAGGTCACAGCTCTGCTTCCCCATGATGGAGGGACATCATCAAGACCTGGTTAATTACAGGCTGTGACACCGGGTTGCTATACTGGAAGCCTGTTCACTACTAAAAACAGCCCCAAACATCCCAACCTGCACTTAGACATGAATCACCTGCATGATGGAGAGAGGGAGTCACTGACATGGTCCCAAGCAGGGGGATGAGCCACTGGGCTCTAAGGGCAAGGAAAGTTTGAAAAACATTTTTCATTTCACACCAGCAGAGCCCAGATGAAGGCACAAACATCTTCTGCCCTGGAATAAAGTACTGGGACACATGTACTATGCATGTCAGCATCCTGTTAAAGATGTGCCTTGTGGTGTTTAGGGGGGTCATTTTAGTTCTTAGGATGACTTGGACATGGTTGATCACACTGAATGGTCCCTAGTGACTCCTCCCTGCCCTGCCTGCCAGGGTAAAAAAGCCTTTCTAAGGTTCTGTGATCAAACTCAGCTTGTTTTTAACATCATTCTGGAAGGGCAAAAAGGAAATCAGCTTTTCTGAGGTGCAGCAGAGGACACATGCTTCAGAGAGAAGTAATCTGTCAGCTCCTGGAGCTAGTGGGAGGCTGTGGGTTCATCATAATTTCCTAAATGTTGATTTGGTGAGCAGGGAAAGATGAGGGTTTATTTATTGTTTATTTATTTATTATTGAACTTTCCCTTGCTGCTCCTTGCACCACTCTTGAATAATAAATTGATGCCACAAGAGCATCAATTTGGACCCACAACCTGAGAATTAAACCCTTCTTCTACCAGTCAAGGTTTCTTTCCCTTCACTAATCAGTTTCCATCTTTCTTTTTTTTTTTTCTTTTTTTTTAATACCTCTGCATTCTCATGATCCCAGGAAAACAACCCTTCCTGGGTGACTCCCTTCCAGGTTTCCAGGTACAGTCTGGGATCTTCTGAATTGCAGCCTTACTGTGTGTCTTCATTTTGCAATCCAGTTTAAGTACTTGAGGTTCTGCTCACAGTGGAACATCACATCCCAGAATAACATCCAGAGATGCAGCGATGCTTGGAATAAATGCAATGGGGCATGAGAGGGAATGTTGTTGAATGTGAGCAAATCCATGAACTGAAACAAGTCCTTTTCCTGGAAAAGGGGACAGAGGAAACAAAAGGCACATGTCAGGAATTTAAAATAATCAGATTTGTGTAAAGAATGAGACTGTAAAAAAAGAAAACCATAGGGGAAAGAGCAGATATTTGGGAGATAAACAAGGACTGTTTTTTCCAACCCTTGTTCATTTCAGAGAATGAGCCCTTTCTGCTTGAGATGTGACTTTCTCTGGAGGGACCTCAAACCTGAGAAAATTTCACCAAACCAAACACATCAGACCCATTTTAACTTCTGCACGGATTCAGGATGTGCGGCCACCTCAGCCCTGCCTCTCCCTGCAGATAAGGACATGAGAAGAAGCATGACCCAGGACCAATAATTCATGTGTTTCCCTTCCCATCACCAGCCCCAGCAGCACTTTGCAACTCCAATTTCCCCACTTTGCATTTTGATTTCCAGCAACCCAAGGGTTGGATGTCTCTGAGACTGGCTGGAGGGTGGGAGCTTGCCCCTGTACCAAAATTTCTCCTGAAAGGCAAAGGCAAGGGCACATTTTAAAGTAGCAACAGACCCACTGCATTCTATCTCCAAGGAACATCTGCATCCAGGGCACTTGCCCAGGGCTTGCTTCCTGGCAGTAGGACATGCAGGGACCACTCCCAGATGGCTGATGGATGAGCAGGACACCCCAGTGTCAGGAGGCAGCATCCTGATGCAGACAGACCCAGGCATGGGGCATTCTGGCTGCCTGTGTCCTTGTCAGGGCAGACTCGGGATGCTCCAGGGCCACTGTGTGCAGCCCAGGGAGCAGAGCCCAGCTGGTGCCACTGGGGAGAGCCAGGCTCTGGCTGCCAGGTGTTGTCCCGGGGCTGCAGATGATCCAGTTTCCTGCCGCCACACGATCCCTATAATTGCCGGGTCCCTGGGTGGGCTGATGCTCCACAGCATCAGCAGTGCTGGCACATTCCCTTCAGGAGGACTCGTCACCACTCACCAGGGCAGGGACATGCATGTGCCAGGGCAGGGCTGAAGGGTGTCCTACTCCAGCCACTTTGGCTCCTCTCCCAGCTGCCTCTGCCGTGCAAGTACCCACATCCCTTCCTGTGACAGCAACCCCCATGCCGTGCCTGCACCCACCACCCTGGCCCATTTCACCACCTCCAGCTGCAAGTTGGTCTCTCGCCAGGGCTGCACCCAAACCCATGCCTTTTCCCTAGGAAATCTCCCACATACCCCTTGCAAGGCACCTGGCTGTCCAGGCAAGGACATCCCTCTTTCCCTGGGGTGGCAGAGCTGGCCAAGCACCACAGCATCTCACGGCAGCAGAACAGGATGGGGCTGTGTAGTGGTTTAAACCTTGTTTTCCCCCAGAGGCTAAAAAATGGTAAAACCCCAAGGGGTGGAAACCCCTGGATGTTTTGAAGTCTTGTCCAATAGACGCTCCTGCAAAATGTAAACATTCCACAAGCTGACTGGAAGAGACGAGTTGTAGTTTTGGTAGTAGAAGTGGTGGCCATGTTGTAGGAGCCACAAGGAGAGGGCAGGAGCCCTCTGGGGGGGCCTCTGCCCCCCCCCAGCCCCAGCTGGGGGCTACAGAGACTTGGAACAGTGTTAAGCTGGACTATGTGTCTGTAGCTGTGAGCTGGGGGATGTTTTTCCACTGTGAGTGAGCAGAGACAGAGCAGAAGCGGTGGCAGCATCCAGAGGTTATGGCTAAGACCCAAGAGATAACTGAAGGAACAGTAAACAGCATGCAACCAAGGAAGACTCAGAGTTGCTCGAGCCGTGATAAAGAGCTGGCAGCAGAGCTACAGAGTTCTGGGGGTAAGAACTGTACCAGACCCCCAAACTCCTTTGAGACCCCCTCTTGGAAAGGAGGGACATGGACTCCTATTAAGGAGAAGAATTTTGGACATGCAGCACCAGAGAGAGAGAGGAGCTGAGAAGCTCAAAGGCGTCCCGGAGCTGGACCAGGACGGAGAAGGAATGTGTGTGGGGGGGAGTTGACCTTGGCCCCCCCTCCCCCCCTGCTGCTGACAAGCCTGGCAGCCTGAGACGGAGCACAGGAGCTCTGGTAGAACTCTTGAGGCAAGGACTTTCAACTGAATGCTGCCCAAGATGTTCTGACTCAGGGGTGAACCTCTGAGGAAGGGACTTTCACGAAGATGCCTCTGCATTTCGTGATACACCTGTGGTGAAGCAAGTCTTGTCCCTGCTGGCAGTCCACAGGTGACGCCTTCGCTTGGAGTCGAAGGAGAGCTGAGGGGCTTGGAGACCCCCTTGTGTGTATTGAAAAGAGATCCAGCTACAACAACCCAGTTGCAACTGCTGCATGGAAGACAGATGAGAAGAACCTGCTGCCTTAGAAGAGACTCCTGCTTTGAGACTGGAAGGGATCTGTTCTTCTTCCCTCCTGGACTTTTATTTGGAAGGGAGAAGAGATCTGATCCATTGTAAATACTATATGTCATGGTAGAGAGAGTTGTGATCATGTGTATAATGTATTATGATATTTATTTGTACAATCATTGTAATATATTCCCTTTCCCCCATTCTGAGTCTGGTGTGTTTTGTCTGGAAAGCCCATCCCACATTAGGTTGAGATGGGGAAGGGGGCTAGGACTAGGGAATTAGGATTTTGGGGTATCTCAAACCATGACAGGCTGGTGTTTCCCTGCTGCCTGATCCTGGTTTCTGGCTTGGGAGAAGCTGACGGAGGGGAAGCAGCTCCCTGCTGGTCCCCACATCTCCCCAAGGCATGGAAAGGAAATGTCGTTACAGCAAAAGTCAAAAAAGTGTGGGCAGCTAAGCCTGAGCATCCTCACCTTACCTTGAAGCCACGGCATTGCTTGGCCACATCATCAGTGGAAAGGAGTAGGGAGTAGGGAAGGCACTGGCAAGGCTGGCACAGTGTGTTTCCCCAGGTTCACTGAAGCACAGACATGCTCTGCCAAATGCGGGGTTTCCTTCTCTGCAAGACCTCTGGGATCCCAGAGGTGGTTTTACCTCTTTCCTCTTCATCTTGCCACAGCTCACCTTCTTCTCTCTCCAGGAATCTACACCGTGAGCACTGCTGCAGACACAGGAGGGAGCTACCAACACGTGGCAGCTACACCATCCTCAGAACAAGCACCTCTGGGACGTGGCAATGGCTCAGCAAGACATCCAGGATGGCTTTTGGCTCCCATTGGCACGACAGGGATGCCAGGTCCTAACCTTCCCTGCCCACAGTTTGGTGCTTTGCCTCCTGGAGAAAAGGTGGTGGGATGGCAGGTGGGCTCAGGGAATGGAGTGGGATGGGGGCTGCACCAGAGCACTGCCCCTTGCATAGGAGGGAAACGCTGGTCCCTGAGCAACCAGGAGCAGGTTCACTCCGTGGGAGCAGCAATCCAGAGGCACATGTGATGTGTACTTAACACGGCAGAGCAAAACACAGAGAGCAGGAGGATACCGGGCAGTGCACCAAAAGTTTTGCCTTGGATGGGGAGGGGTCCAGAGAGAAACGACGAGGGTGGGATTCGAACCCACGCATGCAGAGCACAATGGATTAGCAGTCCATCGCCTTAACCACTCGGCCACCTCGTCCCCTGTACTGGGATTTTTTGGCAGCTTTTTCTTTTCTTTTTTTTCTTTTTTTTGACCGCAGGCTGCAAAACTGGGGCTGGCCCTTGAGGGTGTCCTCTGGTGAGCTGGGCTGGGCAGGCAGAGCGCTGGCAGCCCCTGTCACAGCAGGACAGGGAAGCAAGCAGGCATTTGTGACCCATTTGCCCCTCTCCACGTTCCCCCTGTGTTCAGACGATGGCAAAGGGCAACACGGCATTTATTTTTTCCATAAAAGTGTGTACACCAGTCCTCTCCATCACTCACCCACACCCAGCCTCTGTCCAGACGCTTTTCCTACATGACTGAGCACCAGTCGTGCAAAGAAACAGGGAAGGTGGTGAGGGTCCAGGCAGAATTTTTATTTCCTGAACTCCCTGGATTCTGGAGGCAGTTTGAGCTATCTCTCCACTGTGCGCTTCCAAAGGGAGAGGAAGCAGAAGGAAACTTCTTACCCCCAGAGTGGGGTCACCTGGGACAAAGGGGTGGGGATCACTACTGCTCAGGGCAGGGCAAAGAGCCCCAGAGTGCCCCCAGTTTGGGACAGGGAGGAAAAATAGTCAACCAGGCCCAGGCACCACTGGGAGTCGAACCCAGGATCTCCTGTTTACTAGACAGGCGCTTTGACCAGCTGAGCCATGGTGCCCATGTGCCTGTCACTGGGTGTCCCTAAAAACACCTTACCCCATGACCCAGACTGCAGTCCCAGGTTTGGGGTTACCCCAGCTGCAAGCCCACGTCTGTCTGCTGCTGGGAGCACCCCCAGTGCTGATCAAGCCCCTGGCACAGGGAACCCAACACATCCAGTAAACAATGCCAGCTGGGTTTGGGGGTCCCAGGCCCTACAGGGACATGCTGCCCCCTCCCCTTGCCCCGGCAGAGCCGTGCCAGCTCCCCTTGCACTGCCCTGAGCTGATCATCTCAGTCTCGTCTCTCTCTCTGGAGGCTCACTCCAGCATCCGGGGGGTCCTCAGTGCATTGTCCTGGTTCTGGGTTCAAATCCTGTACGAGCCCTCCTTGTTGCTCCTACTGCCCTCCTCCCACCCAGCTCATCCCCTCAGCACCGATGCTCATCCCAAGGGACACCCTCTAGGAAGGGACACGAGGGCAGGACAGGGAGGGAAATGGCTACAGACATTTCCTCGCTGCCTGCCTTGGGGGGCCAGCAGGCAATCCTAGGCAGGCCGTGCCCACAGGCAACCCTAGGATTGTTCGGGGCGTTCCGGTGGCAGCCCCGCAGCCAGCGGAGAGGGGGATCTGGAGAGGCAAAAGGACATGGAGATGCTGGGGGTTGATCCCAGGGCCTCTTGCATGCAAAGCAAGCGCTCTCCCGCTGAGCTACATTTCTCCCTCCCCTCTCTCGTGCAAGGGCTGATTGAGTTCCCTCACCCCCACTGCTGGCCCTGCTCTGCCCTCAGGGCTCCAAACCAGACAGTCACAGCCTGCACTCCACCATCTCCATTGCTGCTTTTAAGGGACTCCATCCTATTTTTGGAATGTGGCCATGCAAAATGCTCTGCCCATGCCCACTTTACTGGGCCCTGTTTCAGCCTCACTGCCCTGGCCCTGGTCCCACCCTGCAGCAGGGGACCACTTGTGCCACCCAAGGCAGGTGGGTGCCCAAAAGAAGGGCTCGTCCGGGAGTTGAACCCGGGACCTCTCGCACCCGAAGCGAGAATCATACCCCTAGACCAACGAGCCAAGGTGCTGAAAGATGGCAGGAACCCCATCCTTCACTCACAGAACTCACAGAACTTTGTGGGGTGGGGTGGGACCTGTGGCAGTTCAATTTGTCCTGATGGATGGTCACAGCTGGGAGGTCATCCTTGCTCTTTCCTGGCTGTGGGCATGTGACCTGTACATGGCCATGGGCCGTACCTGCCCTGACTCTAAAATGAGGCTAAGAGGAGTACAGAGGGCAGGAGGACCCCCAAGTTTTGGGGTGTCCAGGCAGCAGATGTAGCTCAGTGGGAGAGCACTTGCTTTGCATGTAAGAGGCCCTGGGTTCAACCCCCAGCATATCCAGCTTTTTTTTCCATCCACAAACCCACCTCCTCCACAGGCCAGTGATGAAAAAGTCATGTCTACCTCTGGGAGGTCTCCCCAAAGGTGGGGGATGCTCTTGCACCCAGCACCATGGCAGAGCTGTCCACTGAGGCTGTAGTGGCAGCAGGGCCCCCCTACACTGCCGTTCCCCCACTGCCCCAACAGCCCCTTCTCCACCCAGGAGGGAACCAGCCCTGGCCATGACTGATGTGTGTCTCTGCCCACGGGCACCAAGCAGGGGGGGGCTGCTCGTGCCCTCTGTGCCAGGTAGCGGTGCCTCAACCCCACAGAGGCCATGCCGGGCAGTGGGTGCCCAAAAGGAGGTGTCAGCCAGGAGTTGAGCCCAAGGTCCACAGCCAGCCAGTGCCCAGTGCAGAACCTGCCCCCTCAATTCCCAGCAATGCTGCTGTCGGATGGGGTTACCCAGACCCCCACCCCATCCAGGCCTGCGTAAAACCAGTTGCTGTGAGCAGGATTTGAACCTGCGCAGGGAATCCCTATTGGATTTCAAGTCCAACGCCTTCACCACTCGGCCATCACAGCCACAGCTGATCCCCTGCCTGGTAAGGACAGCCAGGGACACCCCACTTTGCCCTGGGCTCTGCCTCCAGGGAGAAAATATTCCCCAGCCTGCTGTCACGGCCCTGCTCAGCCCCAGTACCCACACCTGCCGGGGCTGGGAAAAGGGAACGTCCAGGGATATTTAGTGATGGCTGGAAAAATTCCAGGTTGCCTCACCACAAGACGGGCAGTGCAGGGAAGTATCCTCCAAGGATGCCCAGGGCTACAGTAGGTCTTGGAGGGAAAAAGACATGGAGATGCTGGGGGTTGATCCCAGGGCCTCTTGCATGCAAAGCAAGTGCTCTCCCGCTGAGCTACATCCCCCTGTGCAAGGGCAGGGGAGGGAGAGTTGGCCCAGTCCCCACACCCCCACTGCTGCCCCACTGCTCACCCTGCTCTGCCCTCAGGGCCATCACCCTTGGGACACACACTGCCAGCCTTGGGGGCCCATCCTGCTCACAGGAATGCATCCAACCAGGAAGGGGCACCACCCCTCTGTGCCAGGGCCCTGGTTATGCCACGGTCCCACATGCCAGCCAAAGAAGATGGATGCCCAAAAGGAAAGCCCATCCAAGAGTTAAACCCCTCCACAGCCTAAGTGAGGATCATACTCCTAGACCAACAAGCTAGGGTGCTGCACCCCACTGCACCCCCAGATCTGTGCCCCACAATTTTGGGGGTCGGCGAGGGTGGCTGGTGCTGCCTTTTGCCCCTGGCACAGCCTAGAACAGGGAAATCCATCTTAGTGTGCCCAGGATATGTGGCCAGTGTTTAGAGGTGTCCACGGTGGCATAAATTCCCTGGACCCAGTGGCCACAGGGGCAGGTGGACCACGGGACCATTGGGGACTCCTGGGCACCATCCTGCTCAGGTACAGGGGGATGTAGCTCAGTGGGAGAGCGCTTGCTTTGCATGCAAGAGGCCCTGGGATCAACCCCCAGCATCTCCATGTCCTTTTGCCTCCCCAGGGATCCCTCCCTGCTGGCTGCGGGGCTGGCAAAGCCATCCAGACCCCCCATAAAAGCCCAGGGGCTGCCTGCAGTCACAGCTGGCCCAGGAGTGGGGGGACAGCAGTGGTGCATAGTGGGTGCCCACACCCCATGCCAGACCCCAAGCTCATCCTGGCCAGCTCCAAGCTGCAGTGACTGGGGGGAAACAAGGGGATGACCCCAAAGAGCTCTGCACCTCCAGAGAAAAATAAGACAGGCTCTGCCCAAAGGGAGGACTTCTCTGGGAGTTGGATCCTGGACTTCTCACATCTGAAGGTGGAACCACAGCCCCAAGCCTGCATGGGGCTTCCCAGCACTCCCTCATGGCCCACGGGCTTGGTGTGGGTCCCAGCTGGCCCATGGGCAAAAGTAGATAAACCCAACCCGACAATCTGGGTGTCTGTGGTCCCCACCTTCTGAGACAGGAGGATTCTCCTTGACCCCAGGTCAAGTGGCCCATGTCTCCCTGCCCTACGATGCCTCATTTTCTCTGGTGCAGGAGCCACTTCCTGGGAAGAGTGTGAGGGACAGGGCTGGGGGCTGCCCTAAACCCCACAGCGGTGAACTCCTGTAGGGGCAGCTAAAACCCTGTTGCTGTGAGCAGGATTCAAACCTGCACAGGGACTGCCCCATTGGATTTCGAGTCCAACACCTTCACCCCTCGGCCATCACAGCCCCATTTTGCCACTCCCGGGGGGGGGGAACAGCAGCCCCCAGCCCGGGGGTCCCCGCACGGGCTCAGCTGGTCAAAGTGCCTGTCTAGTGAACAGGAGATCCTGGGTCTGACTCCCAGTGGTGCCTGGGCACTGAGGGGGAGATGCTTTTCCTCCCTGCCCCAAGCTGGGGGGCACTGCTGGGGCTGTTCTTCCCTGCTGCCCCTATTTGCCCCCCCTCACAATGACAGCACTGCCCCAGAGCGGTTTGGGTGAACACTTTTACCTGGGGAGCCTCTACCGACAAGGGAATGGGGGTGAGGGGTGAACTTCCCATGGGAGCAGGGTCCTTGGACACACACTGACTGTGGCCACCAGTGCAGAGTCTGCACTTTGAAGTTGGCACCACTGGTGTAGGAGCCCTTGGGGCACATGTCCAGCCACAGTTAAGATGAACAAGCACGTTCACCAACAACTCCGATGGGAAGAACACTTCCATATCTTCTCTGACTGCAGTCCCCAGAGAGTTCAAGGCATCCATCCACGGTTTCATGCCTCCTTTGTCCCAGTTTGCTTTCCGGTTGCTCCCTCCTTTCTGCATTAATTTCCCTCCCACTTTCTGCATTAATCACTCCTTTAAAGATTTCAGAGTGTTTTCTTTCCTGTGACTCCTGGATAAGAGGCTCCCAGCCACTCCACACCGGGACCTCGGCTGCCCCTCTTGGATGCTACCTCGATTTCTCCTGCCATCATCACCCCCGTCTCCAAAACACGGCGGTGCTGCAGCTGCAGGGCACCAGCGACCTCATGCCCCTTGGGCAGGATGCAACGCGGTGGCGCCCTCCGTGTCCTCGGCGGTGTCCCCAGTGCCCCCCATGGCGGCAGCAAAAGTGCGACGAGGGTGGGATTCGAACCCACGCGTGCAGAGCACAATGGATTAGCAGTCCATCGCCTTAACCACTCGGCCACCTCGTCCCGCCGCAGGACCGTGTCGCCCCCTGCCGGCCTGACGCCGCCGCCGCAGCATTCCCCCCCCCCCCCCACCCTTGCCGCCCCGCCTCGCGCAAGCCCCAGCGGGGCAGCCTCCACCGCCGCCCTCTTAGCGCAGCCGGCAGCGCGTCAGTCTCATAATCTGAAGGTCCTGAGTTCGAGCCTCAGAGAGGGCAATGCTTTTTTCCCGTGGTTGGTTTGTTTGTTTTTGTCGCATCCCGGCCTCCCCCTCTCGCTCCTCGCCAACATTTTGGGGCCACGCTCAGCCCCACCACCTTATAGGCACATAGTGGGACGAGGTGGCCGAGTGGTTAAGGCGATGGACTGCTAATCCATTGTGCTCTGCACGCGTGGGTTCGAATCCCACCCTCGTCGCACTTTTGCTGCCGCATAAGCTTTTGCAGAGGAACGAGGCAAAAGGGCACCTTTTCGAGCCACCAGAAATTTATTTGGTACAAAAACACATTGTGCAAGCCACGCCCCCGAAGCTCTTTTGGGTTTTGACAGCTAAATTCCAGGTGAACTAAGAATAACAAGAGCAGGGCCAAAAGCTTTCCTTCGCAAAGAACCAGCTGAACTTACACAACTCAGCCTGACAAAAGTGTGTGTAGCAGGAACAGCCTCAAAGCACCACCACCTCAGTTTACATTTCTTAGTTCAACTTAACACTGAGCTACTGTTGCTAATTTTGGGTTTAAGAGAAATCGTACAAATGAAATGCTTTTAAAAAAGCCTATACAATTACTTTTTTGGAAGGCAGCTGACTGTTTTGGACTACTGAGGACTTCAGAGGAAATTAGGAGTCAGACTGGGGTCTGGCAGGCAAGATAATCAGTGTTCACTGCAGTAATTTCTATTTCACCAGGCAGAAGGTTCTGTTTGAGAAAAATTTGCTGCTTTTGTAAAGGAAAAAAAAAGAAACAAAAAGATGAGCTGTATAGAAGTACTGCAGACATGAAATACATCTGCGTACTATTTACTGGGAATTAAACCAAAAGGTCTTAAACTTCCAAAGGTTTTTAAGTGCTGGAGAATGCAGGCAAACTGCTCTTCCAAAAAAAAAAATTAAAAAAAAGGAAAATTGTTTCTCCATAGCTGTTTACTGAATACTGAAGGAAGCATCCTGCTCTCCAGCATGACATGGAATCTGTGGAACAAGCAACTCACCTGGTTTTAAAGCTGTAAATATTGAGTAAAACTTGGACCCAGCAGCACAAAAATCCTTCTGGATTTGCACTGAGCAACATAAACTTGGCCAAGTGCTGCTCCAACTTGAGAATGCCAGTATTGGCATTCCTGGGAACAGAACGGGAACTTCAAACCACAATGCTGCTGCAAGGCAATTCCTGAAGGAAGCACAGAGCTGAGACAACATTTCAGGGACTGTGTCTACAGAGAGCAATCGCTCCAGTGTTCCCAGGGACCCTGTGCAGTTTCCCCCTGCTGAAGTTGTGTTTACCCACGATGAGAGCTGGGAGAAAGAAAAGTCACCACTGTCATGTAAGGCCTTCCAAGAAAAGCTTTTGACTTGTCTCCATGCCCATGGAGCAGAAAAGGAGGGAGCTGCAGACCAGCCGTGACACACTGACCCTGTGGAAGGCAGCCATGTGAGAAAGGCCCAGGCTCCACGGCTGCTCCATGTTCTTATTCCAGGAGAACATTTGCTTGCTCTGGAACATGCCCCACGAGCATATCTGTTCAGTCACCCAGACCTGGATTTCTTTCTTGAGTGTCCACATCTCAGCTCTGCTCAAATATCCACCATGTCCACCAGAGCAGAGAGGTGGAGCTCAGAGGCAGCTTCAGCCTCCTTGGTCGCCCTGAGGAGCTGCTGCAAGTGTTTCAGTCTGTCCGACAGCGCAGGGCTTCGCTCCATCTCCACAACCTTGTGTCCCTCTTGACTCCCAGCCTGGGCAGAAGAAAAAGAGATGAGACCAAAACTTTCTCCCAAGGTAATTCCCGCTAGAGGTTTTGCAACTACTGCACTCCTTGGAGCTTTAGCCAGTGTTCAGGACCCCCTCATCTTACCTCCTGAGCAGGTGGCATGGGACTCTTCACCAACGGGCAGGTGACGGCTGAGGTGGAGAGCAGCGACTGGGGGAGGTAGAGAGGAAGACCTAAGAGATCCCCAAGGGGCTCAGTGTCCTCAGTCAGGTATCGGTGCAGCTGTTCTTCAAACCTAGATGGGAAGATCAAGAGCATCAGTTAGATGGTAGCCTGGCTTTGTCCCTGTAACCAGTGTGTTAACTAAGAGTTCTGGGTTTAGAAGTGTCTGACCTCCACAGTCTGACACAGCCAACTGCTATTTCAAAAATCCACCACATAAAAGTGTGGTACAGAAAGCAGCTACACAGACTGCAGACACCCAACTGATGGGAAAGGCAGAAGAGACAAAAACCTCTTGGGCCAACCTCAAAAGCTTAGTTCTTCCCCTTTGTGATCTGCATTGCTACAAACTGACATCCCAGAGAGAACTTTATAGACATTTGTGACACAGTGGGACACACAGACCACTGTAATGCTTCAGTTGTGGTGGCATGATTGACCACAGAGTTTCCAACCATTCCTAAAAGTTCCAAGAATTTGTACCACCCCGGACTGTTCCTGTGATGCAAGTAGGAGATAGCAGGGAACTGCACTGATGTACTTGATGAAATCAGAGGAAACTGAAGACAGTCTGGGCTGTTTTCTAGCACTGTTCAAGTTAGAAATTGTTTATAACCCTAGGCTGAAGCTGCAAAGAAAAGATGCTGCTCTCGGAACTTACCTCCTGTTTTCTATTTTTTCCAGTTGCAGCTGTGCCAACAGATGCTCCTGGGCCAAGGACACGTCTCTGAATTCATCTGAGCTGGGAATGCTCACCTCCTGACCTGATAGCTTGCTCATGCCAGAGCCATACTGGCCTGGCATCATGGACATGCTGTAGGGTTTCTTAAAAGACTTGGGAGATTTTATCCTTGACCTGAAGAGAGGAGGAAAAAAACAACAAACAAAAGCACAGGAATTGGTATGAGCGTGTTGATTTTTCCCTATTAGCTTGAAGATTGGAAATAGCAGGGAGTGAGAAGTGATCATCTGGAGAAATAATGCTCTTGTGCCAGCATCCAACACACTACCACCTGTGCGTGGGATTAGAGAGGAACTAATCTGATAGGAGCCTAGGATTCACCTCAGACATCACCCACTATACAGCAGAACTGCAGCTAAGCTTCCAAAAGGGAAGAGAGTGGCTTCCCTCTGAATGAGGCTAGGGAAGTGAGCTAGACTCTGGAGATCTCAAATACCTTTATAATGCCACACAGCTCTAAGGTATCCTT